ATAGATGTGGATTCCATGTGTGTTAAATTTTGTGTGAATTGCTTAAGAGCAATGAGATGATAATTAGGTGAAAATCTTAAATTAAAGATCGATTTTCGAGAATAAGTGTTTAATGAGGGGCATTGCACTAATCATTGCATAAAAGGGAAAAAGCTGCCATGTTGCGAAGCTACCCTAAAAGAGCCCAATGAGGAAAATTATAAACATAAAAAGAGATAGGCTAGTGCATGAAACAGAATACGCACGGCAAACTTGAAAAAAGCAGGTGCATGAAACAGAAGACGCACTACATGCCTTGATTGAGTCCCAAACACTTATTTTAGAGAATTAGACCTTGATATGGGATTAGTAGCTTAGTTGATTCTTGAAGGTTGAGTCAGTCAAAATTAAGGAGAATCCTCATTTATTGATGTGTTGAGCTACAATTAGTAAAATATAACCAAACTAGAGAGGGTGAGTAATAGTAGATAAATTTAACCATACATTACACCTTGGGAAAATAGTTATAAAATCAAGTTTGAGGGTGTGCATCCCATGAGAGAAGAGAGAAATAAATGACCATTGAGGGTCGGGATGGGTCCAAATTGAAAAAGGTATGTGATTGAATTGATTATGCACACACACACGCTGGTCGAGCATTGGACAAGTTAGACTATATTTTGGTAGCAAACCTTAGAAGAATTTTGATAAGCAATTTCAAATCCTAAGGCAAATGGGACAAGCTATTTCATTGGAACTATTTTTGAATTTTTATTGCTAGAGACTAGCAATATCTTGGTTGGGGAGTGTGATTAGTGTCTAAAAGTGTTTCAAAGATATATCATTTACAAGGCATTTTACATTCACTTTGTTTAAAAACGCTAATGTTAGTCTCTAATTCCAATTCTCATGCCGTAAATTCAATTTCCATAAATACATGGTTAAAAATACAATTAATTGAAATACGTATTTACATACATGGTGGCATGAGTATTATACATTTGAAAGAGTATCTATTTGATGTATTTCACATGTATTTTCAATTTATTACAAGTGGAGCAAGTGGAGGAAAATAATGTTGAAAAGTCAAAAATAGTGACTGCCTCAAGCAAGAAGCAGCTGTTGGTAAAATAATCATAACTTGAGCTACAAATATTGGATCGAGGTGATTCAAGTTGGGTTGGAAATATAAGGCACTTTTCTACAACTTTCATGTTTTGGAAGAAGTAAAATTCGTATCACAAGGCAGCCAAAATTATCGTGCAAAGTCCAGCTTGTTACCTGCCGGATACAGCTTTACCTGTGAAGTAGTACTTATTGTTTTTGTCATATCTGGAGTTATATAGATCCAATGAACCTGATATTTGAACCAATGGAAAGCTAACTCAAGTGATTTTGAAGCATCAATTCTCTCCACCATATTCTAGTTTCCTTCATTTTCTTTGTAACATTTCACTATGTATTTCTAAACATTTAGCTAGAGCTAAGGGTGAAACTTTGATGAATGTTTAGTATTGTCTTTGATCTTTCATTTTGTTCTTCAATGTTCATCTTCTTACTTGGTTGAAGTTTGTGTTCTACAAATGGTTTTGGTTTGTTAAAGACTTTGATTTATTGTTGACAATTTTGGCACAATAAATGCTTAGATAATCTCTACATACCAACAACTTATTTTGACATATTCTCTCAAACAATTATCAAGATCTATCTTTTAGTATATTTGTGGTTAATGTTTTATCTTCCATATGAGATCACTCCTTAGTTGATTTTCATATGAGTTAAATTAAAGATCAAGTGCAATCTCTACTCATTTATCCGAAGTGAATCCCCGATGCTCTAGTGTTTGTCTTCATTGTATTTTCACCAACCGTTCACTACTCATAGACTAGTTCATTTCCTTCCAATTCCCTGTGGTTCGACCTTGGACTTTCGAGATTTGCTACTTGCGACAACCTGCACTTGGGTTTGCAACCTTAAAGTTGTAGCAAGAAAATTTACTCTCCTATTTGCAGCTTCAGACGAATCATGTCAATGGCTCGCTGACCTTTCTGATAAAATCCTTGAATCATGATTTTTCTTTTGGACAAATTACTAACATTAATTCAAATTTTCTTCATTGTTTTGACCGGCATAATATTCACAACAGGTCCACAATTGATCATTTTGCGATTTGTCTTACATTATCGAATATAACCACTGACATATAGTGATCTATTATGTGGACAAGAACTCAGTTGTAAATCTCCATCGTCGAATGTTATGGCGGCTATACAGTCATGAGGAGTTGTGGATCTAATATGTTCTAAAACTTTCCCTTCGTATTCTTCCAGATGGATTAATGTTGCGACTAAAGCCATTTGATCATTATCAGTAGGAATATTATTAAGCTGTGAGATAGTTTTCTATTTTGAAGTCTACTTTGATAGTTCTTCAGTTCATTTTTCTCCTCTACATTAATTACATTGGAGGCAAGTTATTCTTTATCAATGAAACCTTCGGGAAAATATTCATCCAGGGTTGATAGACTAGGAAGAACGCGTGGAGCTGCTTCTTTCCCAATTGATTTAGTAGATACTCTTGGCTTGGCTTCAGGCCTTCTTCTTTAGTTGTTCCTTGGTCTTGATTTCTTGTCCAAACATTAGAACTTGGGAGTTTTGGAGCCTTTCGACGACATCTTTTCACAAGGATCCATGCCCCTTGATCTTCTTTTAGTGTTTCATCTTCATTGGGTTGAATTTTCTTACCAATTTCCTCTAGCTCTATTCCTGCAAGAGGTTTTAGAAGATAATATTTTACCTATTTTGTTTGGCATTCAATATTTCTCTTTCTTATTTATAAAAGTGGACCAACCATCACCGATCTCATCTTCGGACTTTGAATCAAAATTTCCAACATCCAAGTCACCTGTCATAATTTCATAAAAGGTTGGACGATCGGGTGCGCTTGGTCTATCCATCCCTGGATAAATATAAATGATAGTGATTTCTTCGTCTACCTCAAACTTCAATGGGATGGCTTCTTCTGGAAGTCAAGGTCCAAACTCCTTAGCCGAGGATTTATAAGCATCGTGTACATTAGAAAATGTTTATTTCTTCCCTGATGAAACCATCGAGTATGTGGTTTTTGGATTTTCTCCGATTTTAAGTTCGATCTTATTTTCTTTGTCCAGGCGAACATTAAGATCTTTCAAGACAAAGCATTGTTGTCCACTAGGTGGCTAATGATTCTGTGGAATTTACAGTATTTAGGATGGTCAATCTTACCAGTTTCCTTGGGTCTTTTTGGTACTAGGAGTTCAATTATCTTCTATTCAAGGAGCTAATCCAAAATTTTAGAAACTTCAGAATCTGAGAACAGGTACTCCTTTCCTTCAAGTTCTTTCAGAGCTACATGACCTCAACTTTGGACTTGTCCTTTGTTAGGTCTGAACTCTGGCTTCCATTTTGGGTTTGAGCTCGACCCCTAGAAGGCTATCTTCACAGGAACAGTAGAAATCGCCAAAGCTTCTTTGGATTTACTTGCCTTGACATCTTTCTCTATTTCTTTCTTAAGATCCTTTTTGTCTTGTGGATCACTTGGTAAGTAACTCCCATACCTTGCAATTTGGAGATCCAAGTCATGAGCATGTGTCGCCAATTATTCGAATGAGTGAGGCATATTTGCTTGGAGATTATAGAGTAATCCCAATGCATGCCTTGTACACGCATATCAATGGAAGATACTTTGCTAATTCGTTCTTTACAATTAAGCACAAGATTCATCCAGCCTTTAATGTACTCCACAATGGGCTCTTCTTTGCTCTACTTCGTTCGAGCAAGTTCTAGAAGGCTGACAATTCGTTGATGCTGTAGAAATGTGTTAGAAACTCTCGCTCAAGCTAGTCCCGACTATCAATTGACCCTACTAGAAAGTCTATGTATCATTCAAACGCAGAACCTTTGAGGCAGCGTACGAATTGTTTCACCATGGTGTCATTGTAAGTGCCTGCATTTTTACACGTCTCAATGAATTGAGCAACATGTTATTTTGGGTTGCCCTTTCCATCAAAATATTGATATTGGAAAGGTTGGTAACCGAGTGGGAATTTCATCGATTTGACGACTATAAGGCTTGACATACACCAATGAAGATTGCAATGATCCACCATACTGGGAAATAATGGTGTCTGCAATCATATGTTGAATGGTGTCAAGCAATACATTTTGAACAAAGCCCAAAGATTGAATCTGCACACTTATGTTCTCTAGTAAGACAACGAAATTTTGGATGAAAATGCTAGTGTTGTGCTCGACTTAGTTCCCACACATTAATCGAACTGTCTGACCCCCTGCCTCCCAATGATCTACCAGGTAGTGATAAATTAACTGGAATAATAATGATAACAAATGGACTGTCAATGAATTTCTTCATTTTCCAACTGATAAAAATTAAAAATTCAAGACACTGGCTAGGTAGCTAGTTAATGTACAATCTTTCCTTTGGAAAAATGAAAGTTTAGAGTTTTGTTGACCTCCGAAAATGGCCAACAGGTGTCGTTAGAAG